GACCGCAGACCAGAAACGCCCTCACGAGGAGCTCCCACTTCGTCCCGGAGGCGGGTGGGTTCGCAGAAACACCGGCATCACACGCTTCCCTTCACCATCCCGGTGGGAGCACCATCGCCAACGAGATCAGAGCCACTGAGAGCGTCGGCAGCTTGCACAGCGTTCATGACATCAGCTACACCAACGAGCTCGGCGCACACAACTCTCAGTACGAAGAACACAGCAACGACGTCTACGGCGACAACCTTCAAGACAGTCCGCGGGTCCCCCAGCAGAAATCGACGACGGGCGGCGGCACGTCGCGGCCCGTGGCCGGCCGGCCTCTTCGGCGCCGAGTCGTCATCCGACGTAGAGGCGGCAGCCGTCCGTCCCGTCCGGAGAGCCCCAAGCAGAAGCCGAGCCTCTCGGCCGGCGGACAGGCTCAACATGATGGCAAAACAGCTGCCCCAGGTGGCACCGGGCAGACTGCTGGGCGCGAGGCAGCTGCAGGAGGACGCGACCTCAGTGACGAAGAACTAGACGCCCTTCAAGATGAACTTGATACTGGTCGTGATGAGCTGAACACACGCTACAATGAGCTCATAGTTCAACGTGAGGAGCTGCCAGGTCGCGAAGCTGGGTCAAGTGCGTGGGTTCGGCAACCGGATGAGAACAACCTGGCATTGTCGGAGAACCAGTATGGGACGTTAGACTACGGTCTCAGCTACCCTGAGAATGTAGGTCCTTTCCCTGCCCATGCTGATGGGCCACACGCAGATGATCATCTCCCACGCCCAGTCGTCATTACTACCTAAGGGCTGCAACTCCAAGGCGACAAACGGGAACAGATTCACACTGCGGCCTGCGAGTAATTCCAAGTGTTGGCTGCTCTATTGTGTTGTCAGTGCACTTGAATGTTGTAGTTACGGCTTTGTTAGAGACTTTTTACTTATTAAGACTTTGAACGGATTTTTCCTTCAGTACATTTGCGTTACTGTGCACAAGTTGCCGCACGTTAAGTGTTATGTCCCGTATCGTCCATGCTTTATGAGGGCTATAATGTGTTGCTTAGATTTTGTCAGGTCTCCCATGGTAGGTGGTTCGACTGGCATTTTTCAGCTCGGAAGTATATCGTATTACAAACAAAGGGGTTTTGTTTCATGGATGCACTCCAAACACAGATGAAACCGATGAAGATTCGAAACCAATTCGGAAGGCTTGCAAGGTGAACTTACAAACTGCAAAAAGCTTTAAAGATTACGGGATATCAAGGATAGCCGTCACTATTCTCGTATTTTTACTTCAAAAATTTAATTCAAACATGTGGATTACATGAAATTCTGCGAGCGGGGCCTGGTGCCAATTGCGCAAGCATCGACCTCACCATCCGATCGTAAGATTCCAGGTCAGCCGCGGATTTTGTGCCCCAAGCTAAATGAGTCGTTATGTTCGACGATTGCCGTCGTGCCCTCTAACGCAGTCTGACCTTTAGCGCAGCCGCTGCCAACGGCTTGAGGCCATCCCCTGAAAGGAGCAACGCTATACTTTTCTACACATGGTCCGTTGCATTTCTGATCTTAACACGCGCCCGGGTTGCCGTTTGGATACCTTTCGGTCGGGTGGGGGTCAATTTGACTCCCTTGAGATCTCAGGAACCAACGGACCTAGAGACACCAAATTCACAGGGCGTGTTGACCTGTACGTGAACTCACGTAGTGGAAGGTTTGAGTTTTCTAGGCTCTATCACCTTCGGATGAAATAAGGTCAAACAAGGTCCAGTTCCTGGTTGGTCCCTAAAAGATCTCTAGAACCTAGATAACTGTTGTAAGCAAAAGGTCACATGTTCATCTAAGATCAGTGACCTTGTTTGACCTTTTCAAAGTCATGGTAACCAAAATCATGCGAGGAAGTTTTGAGTTTTGCATTTGGATAAGCGACAACGAGTACGCTAGACAGCTATCTTCCTAAAAACAAAATGTTAACCCGGGTCATTCTAGGTCAGTTACCTATTTTGACCTTTTGGAAGTATATGGGTAGGTGTATAATGCGTTTCCTGTGATCACTAAATTTGAAATGAGAAGCGGGAATTACCCAATACAGCAAGCGCTAGAGTAATAAAACAGGTTGGTGTGGACTTTGGTCTGATCCTCATACCTGACCCATGTCAATGTAATTTGTTCATTCATTTGCTTGCCTTAAAGGTAAAGTTGCCTAAAAAGGAATCTCAGAGTTGTATGGCTTGGTTTAACACTGCTGTTGGATCAGATTAAACGATTCCCTAGAAATTATGTTCGCTAAGACCATGACATAACTTTGATCTGCATAGGTCAGCGACTTAACGAGGTAGATCTAAATTTGTGATGCAAAACCCTTAGATATTTAATTGTCCATAGCTATGCAAAATTTGGCGCGGCTACGCCGTGCCATTCGGAAACAATTCCGGACAACCTTCAGGAGGGGGTTAATTTGACCCCCACCAGAGCACGTGTTGATACATTTAAACATTGATTTCACCACTCGTCAGATGTTATTTGAGTGAGCTTACACATTTCAAGTGGCGGACGCACAGAATGCAGCCCTCCCAAGAAGTGGATTACCGGTCATGACGTTATATTCGTCCCCCGTACCTCCCAGCAACAGTTGCCGACAACGTCCAGTACGCCTCGCTTAAATGAACTGTCCCTGGACGAGTCGCGGCAAAACGATGCTGACAGTTAATGTTTTTCGGACTATAGTCAGAAGTGTGAGCACATTTGACAAATTTCACATCCGATGTGAGCCCCGGCGAGGTATCACACCTTGCTTAACTAGCCGGTTTTTGGCGAGGCGGGCCGCGTGCCCCGGGTGTCCTGTTTTACTTATACCTACGGACTGCCACTGCCAAATTACAACAACCGATGAAGCTCCGTCCTTGGTAACATGGAAACGTGGTCCATGACCATAGGCAATCGTTCCACTTGATGTCAGTCATACACCTGCGGGGTTCATTTATGCTGGTGATTGAGAGAGAGCCACCGATCCGGGTTTTTTCTTTTCGAGGTTTGCTTTTCGGTAGCACACTCGGTAGAGCACGGCGAGAAAAAACACTGCACTTGGTAAAACTTCTTTTAAACAAGACAGAATGAACTCTAAACCCATCCACCTTTACATAGCTGGTCACTCACACCAACGATGCTAGTAGCTTTGCGCTAATCTATAACTTAAATGGGCCACCACGTAACCGAAACCCTTGGCCATGGCAATTGCGCTGATATGGGTGGAGGCTGACCACGCACGGCGGGCAGGAGCACCCCCAGCACGCCGGTTATCTGCGTCTGACCATGCTGCCGTCTCATCCGCGACCGCGCCCTGACGTCATCGCTCGACGCTCTCGTCGTCGATGTCAAGGCCGCAAGGTCCGAGTCGAGCAGGCCCAGGGATGTTTTGCTTCTTAATCTGCAGTGCTCATTTAGTGTGAGCTGGTGTGTTGTGCCACTCGTAGCAGCGGAATAAAGATAAATGCAATAATCTCGATAGCTGTGATCACGCTTCGAAAAAAAAACATTACGACAGCAAAAAAAGTCTTTTTAAGTCGTTCTCTGGCTACCTTGACGCCGACTGGGCCAAATGAACGCAATGCTGATGCCACACATCAGGCAGCAACAATGCATGAAATGGCCCCAGAACTCCCAGGCTTGAGCCGAGACAAGAGAGTAGCTATTTTTATAGGAACTTTACACAACTTCTTGGAAGGGTGATTAGCCAAAGTCCCTGTTAAGCATAAGGTGATAGCTCCGACCGACCAGCCTATGAAGAGAACAATCCGAGTCCATGGGATCATTGCTGCCGAACGATTGATACGTGTGTAAATAATGAAAAGTCCTCTGGTCGTTACATATTCATTCACATCATGTCCAAGAGCGCGCGACGAAAGAGCTTTTGAGTTTTTTGTAATGAAAGCAAACATTATAATCTGAATACAGGATTTTGCATGGAATGTGGAGACTAAATGACATATATATATATATATATATATATATATATATATATATATATATATATATATGTGTGTGTGTGTGTGTGTGTGTGTGTGTGTGTCAGTGAATATTAACAGTAAGTTTGCTTGAGACCTTGTTTCATTAAAAATGATCGCATGTGTAACATTGGCTAGAAGGAGCGTAGTCTGGGTCCATGATTGGAAGTTTTTCGAAGAGTCGCAAGAGCACTAGACTGCATGCATCATTACTTGACGTGAAGGGCATGCACAGCCATTACAGTGTGGTCATGAATGCTATTGGACTATACAATCATACAAATATCCCAGCTTCCGTTGCGCATGTGACGTTTGGTCAGTTTTTAACCATTCACTAAAATCGATCTCCCTCTCTCTCTCTCTCTCTCTCTCTCTCTCTCTCTGTCTATATATATATATATATATATATATATATATATATATATATATATATATATATATATATATATATATCACACGGTTCGTGGGTGGTGTCTAAGTCAGTTAAATATTTCACCTTAACCAGGACTGCGATATCACCAGAGATCCGTAGGCCAGCACAATTTGTCTTTCCTGTAAAGCAAGCTCCTGGGCACACACGTCTGAATTACTGCAAAGGTCTGCTTAGCTGTTAAGATACTGATTGGGTCACAGAACCACTATTAAGCCGTGAAAAGGGGGAAATGTTGCTGGTGAATGCTGAGTTGCATATCACCAGACACTATCCTGCGGCATGAGAAGTGGTCCACCACAAACTGATGCATCTCGTGAAAGTCACGCGCCTTGTAAAATTCATTACTCAAAAATGGTAGCATCTTTTTTCGCGGCCAAATCCACAGAGTTTGCTATATACTTTTGGTCAAAGATAAATTGTGTGTTTATTAACGACATTTCATCGATAAAATTACTGAGTTATGACAACGTACTTTACCTACCCACCACCGGAGCTGCAGAAGGAGTTGGCGGACATTGCGAACGCTGTTTGTGCCCCAGGGAAAGGTATTCTAGCAGCTGATGAGTCGACATCCACGGTAGGCAAGCGACTTAGTGGTGTTGGTGTTGAGAATACCGAGGAAAACCGTCGTGATTACAGGGAACTGCTGTTTACTGCACCTGATGACATCAGCAAGTATATTTCTGGTGTATTACTTTTCCACGAAACCGTCTACCAAAAGGATCAAATGGAACACCGATGATGGATCTTTTGAAAAGAAGAAATTGATCCCTGGGATTAAAGTTGATAAGGGGGTTGTACCACTCATGGGATCCGAAGGAGAATGCACAACACAGGGTTTAGATGATTTGTCTCAGCGTTGTGCACAGTACAAGAAGGATGGATGCCAGTTTGCCAAGTGGCGTTGCGTACTTAAGATAGGTCGCAACACGCCAAGTTATCAAGCAATGATTGAGAACGCGAATGTGCTCGCGAGGTATGCATCAATTTGTCAAATGAATGGGCTTGTTCCTATTGTGGAGCCGGAAGTTCTTCCAGATGGCGACCACGATTTAGAACGATCGCAGAAGGTCACAGAAACTGTCCTTGCTTTCGTCTACAAAGCTCTGAGTGACCACCATGTCTATCTGGAGGGCACGCTGCTCAAGCCAAACATGGTTACAGCTGGTCAGTCATGCAGCAAGAAGCCGAGGGCAGAAGAGCAAGCTGAGGCTACCGTCACAGCTCTGATGCGTTGCGTTCCTCCAGCGGTCCCTGGCGTCACCTTCCTTTCCGGTGGCATGACAGAAGAGGATGCATCTGTAATGTTGTGTGAAGTTAACAAGTTTCCTGGCAAGAAACCATGGAACCTTACCTTCAGCTTCGGCCGAGCCCTGCAGGCTTCGGTGCTAAAAGCATGGTCAGGGAAAAAAGAGAATACAGAGGCGGCTCAAACCGAACTGATGAACAGAGCCAAAGCCAACAGTGAAGCATCACTCGGAAAGTACGAGGCAGGCACTTGCAAAGGAGCGGCAGCTCAGGCTGACCAATTCGTCAAAAACCATGCGTATTAACGCGCTGATTGTGATGTGAAATGTAAAGTGCATTCTGGAGATCGATGGCAACAAGAGAATATACAAGCTCAGCAACGATTACCGCACTTGCACATTCACATGCTGCTGATGTCTGTGACGTTCACACGGCTCACTGTGACTTAAGATGATCTTTAAAGCCGTCTTAGTTGTCGTCTGATTGGGCTGTTTCACCGCCTCCCGCAGGGGATCGCGGGAAACCCGCCTCCCTTTGGTTGGGAGGCGGGTTTCCCGGGAAGGCGAGCGGTGATCTCGATTCTTTCGTTTCACCATAGATAGCCCCCCGCCGAAAGTAAAAATCCGGCGTGATGCGTAATCATGGAGCTCCAGGCCCGGCCCTGAAGAAAATCCTGGCTGCGCCCTTGGGTTTGGCCTTTTCGGTGATTCAGCACACGATGTGCTGAAGTCAATATACAGAAACGATCCACTGCTCGTGTAGATCGTACACAATTTTTACTGCAGTAATTTGAAGTCCTTCCCCACGAATGACGTTTCAAGCCGGCCATCCTAGGTCAGCTCACGTTTTCGCCGTTTATGTTTTGCTTCCTTTTGAAGCACGGCAATGGCCTCCGATGGCAATGCACTTACATTTCACATTTTGGGTGTTGCTAATCTCACGTGCGACGTTCGATGATGTTGATGAGCGGCCAAAACTATAATAACGTGGCTTTAAGCGACTTGAAAAACTTTAAGCGATTTGAACCAGACTTCCGGTGACCCCCCACATCCATATTGACGTACTTCAGTCATTTGGATGCAGCGTATAACAGTCTTGAGGATTAATGCAATTTTAATTCGACGCCATTTGTACTAATGACCAAACCCAATGATAGGATACAAAGAGGCTGTGGTTTTGAATTGCGCTTTCATACATCCCTTACATTGATGACGGTCATTTTGCACCGACACCAAACCAGTGGACGAAATGATATGATGCGTGCGAAATAGACATGTATTCACAAATGTTACTAGATGTCGTTGGAATGCAGTGACAATTATTCTAATTCCCAACAGTGATAAGCACGCTCTTGAGGGGGCCTTGGATCTCCCTTCTACCCTCCTATTAGAGCGAGCTTACAGAAAAAGCCAAATAATCTCAGGCCTGTTTATTTCAGTCTAAGCACATAGGATAAGCGTAGACATGGATTCAGTAAAAACAAATGTGGCGTCATCCGCGCGGGATTTCACGTAGACAGTACTACAGCTGTAAGGCCACTGACCCCAATCGCCTACGCGTCTATTAACATGAACGCGAGTCAAATAACACATTCACTCTCACGTCGCAGACACCTCCTCCAAACACATCTTTAAAAGACCGAGATCCAGAGTCATCAAGAGAAGTACAAAACCACTACCTAGCAAACAGTTTTCGTAAATTCGGGGCACAATTATCCCACGTCATTGGCTCACAAAGGTGATGTACAACAGCTCCCCAGTATTTAATTTGGCTGTTCTTGTGCTGACTTATGCACGTTAACCTTCGTACGTGTAAATTAGAAGCCTGGAAACAACGCGAAGGTGAAATAGCGCGATCAGAAACGTGCTGAAGTTTCACATGAGAGGTCAGGGCTTGATTTCCGGCCGCTGCCATGGCCTTTGGGTGCGAATATGCCACTGAAGGAACCGCTTTCAAAGGGACAACAGCTCCATGCACCCAGTGTCGGTTTAACAATCAACCTTTTGGTACCACATCTTTTAGGTGGTAACAATCTTTCTTGTTTGATACGTGTCGCTTTCGTAACGAAATGAGTACGGTTGTCCCAGGAATCAACGCCAGTTCAGTTTCCGAAAGCCCCCAAGAATTATGCAGAAGTATTTCACTCGACTACCTGGATCAAGCTGGTTGGAACTCTGCGCCATATGGTCTGTCTTCAGACGCTGCCGCCGTGCTCTACGCCTATTCACACTTGTCTTGACGCATTATCACTTCCATCAAAATCGGAGGATACAAGCACAGAGCGCCCCACTGGGCAAATAATCACTGTTCTTGTCTGACGCGCCCCTCCCAGAGCGCAGGAGCTCACAAAAAGCTGGGATGAGTCAAGGTTTTTTAAACCTGATTTTTCCACGCTATTCCAAGGGGAACGACGCCATTTTTTGTCCAGGATTTAAGGGGAAAACGTTAGGTTTTCGACAAGTTTGGGGCCACTGCTCTCTCTCCTCAGCTTCTCCACCTTGCAGCCTTCACTTTGCGTTGAAGTGAAGTAAGCTCAAGAGTATGCCAAGCAGGCTCAGGGCACCACCCCTCGGACATAACCGAGGTCGAGCGGCGCCAGTTCGCTGACGCTTGCTGCCGCCGCTGGTCAATTCCGGCCGAGTGGCGCCATCTCACTGATGCCTGCTGCCGCCGCTGGTCAGCGCCGGCCGGCGGCGACTCAGATGGACAGGCTGCTGAGGGCGTACAGCCAGCTGAGGCGCTGCTCGCCGCCCCCTCTGGGGGCTGGCCGGGCTGTGACCCTCAGCCGCTCCGCCGGCACGTCGAACGGCTCCACGCCCGCCAGGCGGCGCTGCAGGTCGGCCTGCACCTGCTCGAACCGGTACTGAGGGGCGGAACGGGATGGGACTGGCGCTGGAACTGAGACTGGTGCTGAGGCTGGGTTTGGGGCTGGGGCTAGAACTAGGGCTTGGGTTGGGGCTGGGGCTGGGACTGGGGCTGGGGCTGAGTTTTGAAATGCGGCTGGGTGGGGATGTTTTAGGCCGAAAAGGTGTTGTGCTCGTTGGTCGAGATGGCTTTGGAGAATTAAAGGGGGAAAGACTGTGGGTGGTGGGCCGAGGAATTTTTGGAACTGTCGTTGGGAAGGTACCGGTAGTGGTTACTGAGGAAGCTTTCTTGCTGCCTGGCCGAAAGGGTCTCGGTGCGAGTGATCTGCTGGGTTCGATGATGGGTGACAGTATGCTATTAGGTGACAGCAGGGGTTCTGGAATGGTGGGCTGGAAGGGTCTGAGAGTCACAGGCCTTGGAGGTTTCGTGGTAATGCGCTGAAACGGTTTTCTGGTCGACGTCCCACTTGGAGTCGACTCTCGAGAAGAGCTCTTTGAAACAGCTACATCGGTGGAAAAGAAAATACCATTCTGGCTGGTTTTGAATGGACGTGCAGTTGGTCTACGCTCTGATGTCGTATCAGACTTGTTTCTCTTTCGTGAAACGCTGTTCGCCAAACTGTTTTTGGAGCCTTTGGCGCAGCTGGCAGCGTTGAGAACGGACTGTTCGCCAGTTCAGGCCCGGCGGAGCGGCCTGCTGCAGCTGGAGATAGTAGTTGGGACGCTGTTATCGAGCACTTTGCCCCTCCGCGATGATGTATTTTCAGCGGTAGCCGAAGGACCTCTTGACCACTCCGAGTTAGAGACAGCCCGAGAATTGTCCGTTGCAACCTGAAAGCCCTCCCTTGCCGTGATGGACAAGCCCAACTGCGAACCCCGTCCGGTTAGATGACACCACCAGGCCGCCACCGGCCCCAAGATCGTCACCGAGGCGCTTGCTGAACGTTGACTGGATCAACCCCATCGCCACCAAACTGCCCTCCGAAAATGTCGTTTTCTTCCGCGCCGCTCGGGTTTCCTCCTGCTCTCGCTGGTGCGAGACTGGCTGGCGAGCGCCGGCGCCGTCTCCTTAAACGCCAGCTGGCCGGGGCCGACTGCTGCAGCCGCCGACGCAGACTCACTGGGGGCTGCCGCCGCCCCTGGGCTCCCAGCCCCGCCGACCTGCGCGGACCTGGAGCCGGCCGGGTCCGCCGGGCGCGGCACCAGACCAATCAGACTGTTGAGCGCGTAGAATTGCGGCGAGGTGCCGCACTCGACAGTTGTACCACCAGTCGCACACGAAACACCTGGCGGGAGGAACGTCCGTGTAAGAGACGTCCCGACCTTGTACGGAGGGTACAACGCAGGGTGTGTAACCGGGGCGTTGCCAGTGGGGAGGGGCAGGCGGCTGTGGCTCCTGATGGAGCCCTGTGTCATAGCCTGGCTGCAGAGTCAATCTTACCGCTTCAACGGGTTTGCCTCCGAAATGTGCAGAATTGGCCGGCCTCTTCTCCCGCCCAGGTACTCTAGTTTGCTCCAAGCGTTTAATGCTGGTGCAACCCACTTGCATCGAACGGTAAGGTGTACGGTTCTGCATCGACATGCGAAATTTGATGACCGAATGCATAGAGAGCGATTACTTTATCAGGCCGCGTTATGAAAGCCTTCGCAATATGTTGCATGCAATATGCTCTTCAAAGAGTAGGCTTATGGGCTGGAGATATAGCCGCTTGCTTCCTATAAATCGCTCACAGATTTCTGCAGGCGGGCCTTTAATCCCACCAGGGCAAGCATAGTCCGCCGACCAGTTCCTGAAAGCGCCGAGCACCGAAACATCTGGCGAGGTGCAGCGCGCTCGGCGGGTTAGTACATTCATGCTTCACAGCTTGAAAGAGAACTATAGTAGCTTCACATGGACTATGGAGTAGTATCACCAAAACACGTACGCAACTAACGAAATCAAAAGTGGGTCAAATGCGTACGCAATGCCAGATTTGCGTAACCAGATTTAAAGAAGACTGCCCGCATTTGTTGGTGAAAAATCTGCCAAATGTAAACACGAAGTGGTGCATTTATTTGATGGCAATATTTTGTTACGTGTTGCAAAAAAATACAATTTTGTACACAAAATATAAAAATACAGTAGAATATTTTTAAATTTAATAAAAATGTCTTCCAAGCGCATACAAACAAAGCTTAAATGGATGCCCACAAGTCATCAAAATATTGAATACTCACGTCTTCCTCGCAACTAAACTACGCCTAAGGGTCATTTTTTCACCGGACACGACATACCGTTGATAGTGCTGCTCTCTTCGAGACGTGCGGAATACAGCCTCGACATAAACCGTCAGAAACCAGCCCTTTACCAGGCGACGACCTTGCAGTGCACGACTTAACCCACCTTCTGGTTGAAAATAGACCCCCGCGGGACACAGGAACGAGTCCACCGCGTTGGTATGGCACACGTGAAATGCCTGCAAAGGAACGACGGCAGATGTGACACAGCTTAGCGCACCCCGGCTCCGGCATCCAAAAACCGTAAATCCAGTACGTAGCGGATGTATCCAGTTTTTACTGGCGGCAAACACCAAGTTGCGGCGGATACCAACGCTAGTCCGAACCGGAATTGCGCCCAGAAGCCGATTAACCGTACTGTAAATATGTTTGCTGGCACCGGAACCAGTTTGGTATTGCGTGTCACGGGGTCACCTGGAGGGATTATTGTCGCTCAGATTTGTCTTGCACCAGTCTAAGGATTCGGAATATTCCATTTATCTGAATGGACCTTGTGTCGTTTGGAAGGATGCCATTCGAAGATCGGCTGTTGTGATTAGCGGCACGTTACGCATTACGGGAGTTGTTGGGCAGCGCGATGTATGCACGTAGAATGCGTGTACAAAATCTGCATCCTTGTTCGATAACGCTTTCAGATTTATTCACATACACAAGCCGCCGTATAAAGGTTTCGTTGCGTTTGCTGCCATTCCCCTCGAGTAATGGAACGTGATTCGAAGTGTTTCGTTGAAGTTGTGAATTTGTATGACATGCAGCGCAAGTCCGCTGTGTGCGTCAAAGTGAACATCACAGGGCAGGTAGGATCTACGCGAATATTATCAAAGGCACCATGAATCATTTTGGTCGCTGCGACTACGTCAAAACAATAAGAGGGGCCTGCGGTTTGAAATGTGAGTGGGAACATATCAGCGACGACGTGATGTTGGCGAACACGAGACGCTGCAAACGAATGCGAGTGGATACAGCACTGACGGGTGCAGGGCCACATGACAGCTCATCTTCGGGTGAGCAGGCTCAGCTGACAGTCAGTCCCGAGGTGTGCAAACTCACATGACAGCCCGTCTGGAGGTGTGCAGACTCACCTGACAGCCCGTCTCCGGATCGGCGTAGTAACCCGGCCCGTACTGATCACAGGAGAACGACGTCTCTGGCACGCTGGTGTAGCTCGGGAACAGGCCTGATGGACAAGCATGTTTGGCGGAGCATCAGTGATTTGGCCACACCTTCGAGGAGCACGGCTTGACCCAGCTATTATCGTGCACAAAAAACACCGATGTGCTATCACAACGTAACGTAAATATCAGTGCTGGTTAAAGCGCTGATGTTACCAATGAACTACAAAGATGTAAGAGATGGTTTCAGCGACCCAAATAGCTCCCTTCCATTCCCCCCCCCCCCCCCCCCCGACTCTCCGTCATGGCGACCACCGGACGCAAATATTTGGATCACCGGACTCAGACTGAGCATTTACACTCATTCAGACTCACACCAAGCGCTTCTGCAAAATCAGCAGTATTCGACCAGCTGATAAACAGGTCACCATCTCGGTCCCCGCAAGCGGCGCGCATCAACAGTCACGGCTTCACCAGCGGCGTGTGACTCATCGTCCCGGCTGCTTGACCCCGGGCATGGGCTAAGCGGCTCAGAGCTGGCTCATGAATAGTGAGCCGTCCACACTCCCGACGGCCCTGTGGTAGCCTGTGGTGTTGTGCGTGTTTGAGGAGACACGGCGCGGCGCCGCCGACCAACTCCGCAGCGTGTGAACTGATGGTGCGTGGGCGCGAGGCTCTCGATGCGTATGAACTGACGGCGCTGTGGGCACGGGGCTCTCGATGTGTGTGAACTGATGGGCGCGTGGGCACGGGGCTCTCGATGCGTGTGAACTGATGGCGCGTGGGCACGGGGCTCTCGATGTGTGTGAACTGATGGCGCGTGGGCACGGGGCTCTCGATGCGTGTGAACTGATGGCGCGTGGGCACGGGGCTCTCGATGCGTGTGAACTGATGGCGCGTGGGCACGGGGCTCTCGATGCGTGTGAACTGATGGCGCGTGGGCACGGGGCTCTCGATGCGTGTGAAACTGATGGCGCGTGGGCACGGGGCTCTCGATGCGTGTGAACTGATGGCGCGTGGGCACGGGGCTCTCGATGCGTGTGAACTGATGGCGCGTGGGCACGGGGCTCTCGATGCGTGTGAACTGATGGCGCGTGGGCACGGGGCTCTCGATGCGTGTGAACTGATGGCGCGTGGGCACGGGGCTCTCGATGTGTCGGGTATGTGACGCCGCCAGCAGGCTTGACATACGTGTCTGAAGTGATCTTATGAAAACAGAGCCGTGACAGGAATGATTGACGCGACGGTTGGTAGATAATCGACTATGCCCCGAAGAACGGGATCAGACAGGTTCATGTGAATGAATCAGAGAATGACTAGTGAAAGGGATGAGTCAACTCCTCTCGGGGACTGGTTTCCATCTTGAAAGAGCTACATCATGTAACGCTGGATGTCTTCAGTTCTGCCATAATAAATACAACGAAGCGGACATTATGCGCAGGCATAGATAAACATATCATGCGCCCGGTTTATAGATATATCTAATTATCGCATCCCGCTTGTCACATGCTGGGAATGTCATAATCAGCTCCCTGTAGCAATCCATGCTAAACAAGGTAGTTCAGGAGCGTAGTTTCACGAAGTAAGTTGAGACAAGGGGGGATAAACAGCGAAAAATTGCCAAATCTTCCCCAAAATATGCCAACAAACAGGTTGCTCATAAGATCTGACCCCCTTTCTTTCAACAGTTGGAGGGGGCTGGCGCTCAAACTGGGAGGGTGTCTGAAGTTGCGCCAACTGAAAAGGAATTTACACCCTGGGTGTATTTACTACGTCATTTTGGAGCTATTCGAAATCCAGTACCATGGACGAATGGTGTTAATCGTTGCCAGCCGTTGTGAGCCGGACCCGGTCAGCTCGCCATCAGCTGCCACTCCGGTCGTCACTACCGAGCGATTGTAGACCGATCTTTTCTCAGCGCACAACAGCACATGCCACATCGTACTTACCCACAATGTATCATACACCCTCCCACGCTATTCACCTCGTGTTCATCTGCGCAGCGCGCCCGGACTTGTGTGTGCTGTTATAAATGCGGCTGAGATGTCCTTATGATCATATGTCACACACAAATGCCACTTTCCGGGACTAAGTGACCCAATGCCTACCAAATGTCCAACCTGAGTCCTTCAGTTCAGTTCTGAGTGCCGAGTTGCATTGACTTACGCGGCCTGGACAGAACTGCACGACATGACAGCATCACCAGTGTCCTGTCCCGTGCAGCAGCGGATCACATAGACCGGCCATCTCACACGCCACCCTCCCCTAACACGTCACCCTCCCCTAACTCAGTGTCCTGTCCCGTGCAGCAGCGGATCACATAGACCGGTCATCTCACGCGCCACCCTCCCCTAACACGCCACCCTCCCCTAACTCAGTGTCCTGTCCCGTGCAGCAGCGGATCACATAGACCGGCCATCTCACGCGCCACCCTCCCCTAACACAGGGGCTCAGTGTCCTGTCCCGTGCAGCAGCGGATCACATAGACCGGTCATCTCACATGCCACCCTCCCCTCAGACAGGGGCTCAGTGTCCTGTCCCGTGCAGCAGCGGATCACATAGACCAGCCATCCCGCATGCCACCCTCCCCTCACACAGGGGCTCAGTGTCCTGACCTGTGCAGCAGCGGATCACGTAGACCAGCCATCCCGCATGCCACCCTCCCCTCACACAGGGGCTCAGTGTCCTGTCCCGTGCAGCAGCGGATCACATAGACCAGCCATCCCGCATGCCACCCTCCCCTCACACAGGGGCTCAGTGTCCTGACCCGTGCAGCAGCGGATCACATGGACCAGCCATCCCGCATGCCACCCTCCTCTCAGACAGGGGCTCAGTGTCCTGTCCCGTGCAGCAGCGGATCACATAGACCGGTCATCTCACATGCCACCCTCCCCTCACACAGGGGCTCAGCTGTTACACGGTGCAGATGTCACATTTGGTGAAAATCGCAGGCGCGACCGGACCGGTACCGCCACGGCGGCAGGGCGCGCACGTCCGCCCCGACTTCAGACCACCGCGGGGGGGGGGGGAACTCGGTGATCATCGCAGGCGCGACCGGACCGGTACCACCACGGCGGCAGGGCGCGCACGTCCGCCCCGACTTCAGACCACCGCGGGGGGAGGGAACTCGGTGATAATCGCAGCCGCGACCGGACCGGTACCACCACGGCGGCAGGGCACGCACGTCCGCCCCGACTTTGGACCAGCGCAGGGGAGGGAGCTCAGCGACCATCGCAGCCGATCGGGCCGGTACCGCCACGACGGCAGGGCGCGCACGTCCACCCTGGCTTTGAACCGGCGCAGGGGAGGGGAGGAGGACTGTGCGGCCATCATCGACGACCGAACACTCACCTGCGCCGGCCTGACGCTTCACCTGTAAACAGAGCACGGGGTCAGGTCAGGTCAGCAGCTGCAGATGTGCGAGCCGTCAAGCGTTCACCTGATTCTAAGTGCTGATCCAAGGCTTAGACGCATGGGTAGAACGTCAGGGAATCTCCTGGTTGAGGACAAGTCGCAAAGCTGTACCCATAATTTGAGAACCCCATGTTTTCGCGTGCTCGGAACTAGATACGTCGGGTAAGCTGTATTTTCAAAAACGACAATGCATGACATTAAGATTTGAGAGCCGCGTTCTTAAGCCATATCGTAGCTGGCATGCGCATCAAACTATTGTTGCCGTGTACCGCATATGACTTCACACTTTTGCAATATGTTTGACAATGACCATATCACTTAACACAGCTTTACGCAAGGTTAGAAAAGGTCAGAGGCTGACCTATGAGGAAATGACACAGAAACATACCGGGCTGCTTATCATTTGAAAAGTTTCTCTGTGCTGAACACGATGAAGTATTTCCTTGGCGCATTCCGGCTATGTTTTGTTATCTTGTTGTTTTATGGTAGGTGCTGCAGATTGTGCGGAATACCGCAGTTTTTCCTGGCCACGAGCGGGATCTAAGCGTTCAGTAAAAGCAAGTGCAATATTCTTTATAAAGTCGAGCAGCATAATCCACCTCACCATGCCAATCAATCTTAAGATATTACCGTACTTTCCTATTTTATTCCTCGCGCTGACGTTTCTGTTTGACATTCCCTGACAGACGGTGAATTTGAAGGACATATCTGGGTACTTATCCAAGATGTGCGCGCATTTACGGAAAAGTTCGCTACCCAAATTCTGATAGAGCGGGAAAATTGCCATGCATGAAATGTAAATATATGGTGAAATCGATTTTGCTATTCTCGTCAGCACGGCGAATAGTTGTATACTAGCTGTATAAAACAGCCGATCACAGCACGGGGATAGACACCCATTGTCCAGAGGCCATATCGGAAAACAACACATGAACTTCAGATCCATGTCAGTGAATACACGAATAAAACGTGCGTGACACTCGTGGCTCAACATTTTCTTACTTATCTCTAATTAGCAATAAATGGTATGCAACGAATTTACCTCTCTTGATTTTAAGGGCTTTCAGAAGAGATCAAACCCGAGAGTGATTTTCTGTCGCCAGTTCCCCGTCCGACACAAATGCCGACGAAGCCCCACGCACTCTGCACAATGGACCAAAGGACATCCCGGCCTTTCGCTCTGTACGACGGACCAACAAACATCTCGGCCTTTTGGTAGTCGGACGATTGTGACCAGTTTCTTGCGCAAGTAAGCAAGGCTTTCTTGCGTTAAATTACAGCAAATCAAGGCTTCTGCCTTCAATTTTCCATCCGCTTTCAGCATTGGTCTTGGCGCTGCCCATAGCACACTTCGCTCGTTCAGAGTAATTTTATTTTTTTACGCTTTACCTGGTCCGCGCGTTTCAACGTCCGCTTTTCAGAATCAGTTCGTTCACGAAAGACATTGTGACAGCTTCCCCTCCCTCCAAACGCCACCCGCTACGCCCTCTCAGTTGTTGTGAAATGAGACCGAAGTTGATGACGTGGTATGGGATCCGATCCTTCCTCACGCTACAGATGGGGTCAAATATCACGCGCTGCTGGCCGTTTAGACTGTGGATAGCCAGCAGTGGACAATGACCCACGTGGCGTTGCCCAAGACCATCATGGACCGTGACATGGCAATCTCCGGCGCCAGATTCGGCGACATAAACCAGCAAGTTTCTTACCCCGATTGGTTGCCATGGCTACTTAGGCAGCCGAATGTCAGCTGATCTGTTAATCATGGTTTGCTCACAATTAGCGGCTCAGTTTTTGCCGCCCAATGATCACTCAAACTTCCATTTCCTTCTTTTTTTTACCTGGATTCTAGATGGAAGTTGTGTCTTCCGTGGTCAGGCTACACACGTGTCTTTTGATGTCAGATGATCGTAAGAGTTTCCGCTTGGTCATAAAATGAGGCAAAGGCGGGAAAAGAGGTGGTACATTTTAAGAGGTTAACTTAACGCGGGAGAAAAGGACTTCTTGTCAAGGAGCAGTTCATATCGAATCGATAGCGTTCATGAAGGTACTTAACGTGTTAAGCAGGACATGATCATTAAAACAATACCCATGCCAATAAGGTTCCATCAATACCCTCATCGTCATTCCTTCCCTTTGTTTGACCATGGGGGAAACGTATAAGGTAAGATGGGATCATATATATTGGCCAAGTGAGCAAACATGTCAGCACATCGGGTTGCAATCGCTTAATACCTATGCATGCATAACACGGTGTAATAACGCCATTATCAAGTTTTGTGGTCATGCATGAGTAGGTCAACTGACATCGTATTCTACCTAAGGCCAAGTAAAGCGCATTTTGATAAATGGAGGTATCAGATAGCCTCATACTTTTTGTGTTTGTAGTCAAGTAAAATAAGGGTTGTGGAAAGCTAATAGGCTTCTCACTTAATGAAAGGTCATGGAACCAAATACTAACACTGCAGACAAATCAGCAGCTATTTTGGATTCGTCACTTCCGCTATCCTCTGTGCGTTTTGACCTGGAACGCCCCTGATTCAACAGGAGAAGTTTAACATCGCATGTCCTCCAGCACAGCTGCGCAGGGGCCGGGCAGGGCGGCGTTAGAGCATTTCACCCCGCAACCCCGACCCTGGCCCTCCCTCAGCCAACGACGCATAATACCGGCGCCTTTGTAGCCGCGAATGCGCCTCCCCGAGCGGTGATTTACGAATGAGACCAGAGCGGAGACGGTCCGCCTCCGCGTCAAGTTGCATCACTGGTCCGCGGTAAACACGACAGGGCTGACCTTTGCGGCGCGCGCCACTTAGTGTTGCACACTTTTGTCCATGATACACTAACCTCACAGCTCTGGTTAAGGTCAACGGCTGTTGCTTGGAAATGGCCGCTTTTCTTTTCAGAAACATTGCATGGGTCTTGTCTCCGGCTGTGACAATGCGAATATGGCGGGTTACTAGGACGTGGTATTGGCCTATTTTTTCATGGGGACAGGATGTTAACACTCAGTTTTCACACATTACGCCATGGCCAGTCCCAAGTGAGTTGAGCAGAGCTTGAAATTGGCCTGCAGAGCACTTTTGGTGTTTTTAGATTACTATCCATGTTTTGTGCTTTCACCAAATAAACCACCACCAAAACAGCGCCGTTCTCAACGCATTTCAGGTGTGTTATCCATGAGATGGTTGTTTTACCTGTGGCTCAAGGCTGCGGCTATTGGTGAACGCAGAGGTCTCATGGAATAAATGCTTAACAAAAAATAATCACAATATTCGATCAAACCGCGTTATATTTGAGTACTGTTGTTAGCATGCATGAAGAGTTAATTTTGTTGCGAAACATGGGTGTAAACACCGATAGGCTAAAACAGCAATGGAGATATGTGTGTTCCAAGAACAGCGTGGCCTTTTCAGCAAATATTCATAAAAAACAACGCTACGATTTTAGCGTGAGCGTCGATTTCAAGAAAAGGATCTCACAAGCAGGCTTGTTGATCGAGCCGCGCAAGCCCTTACCCTTTGAGTGCAGGAGACAGCCGGGAGATGGACAGACAGTGACAAAACCGCGGCTGAAAGTACAGTAAAGCGTATCAGTCTGGTGTTACTGGTGAACAGTCGAGACCAGACAAGACGGATCATAAACCCGTAAGATACAGCGAACACAGCGAAAATGTGTACTTCGAGGATTATAGATTGTAATTGACAGCGATTGCTTGTGTGAGGCTCAGGATTGCAAAACGTACTACTTGCGTCGCACAATATGTTGCCACGTGAACATTATGATGAAATTACTGCACAACGGATGCATAATTTAATAGATCGTTTTCCACGGCCTGCCACATCACACGCGTCTGTAACAGGTTGGATGCTGCCGGCATGACCATCGCGCCGACCTGTTACAACAGACCGCGTGGGCTGCTAACTGCGTCATTCGCCGCGCAGTGGCCGTTTGTAACAGGGTCAACTCGGGTGAGAAGAGGCCGCGCAGAAGTGGGGAGCACCGGCCGTGACGTCATCGTCACGGCTTCCCCTCCCCGCTCTCGCCCCGGGGTGTCGCGGACCGCTGCGAGACGTGGAGAGAGAGAGAGGAGGAGAGAGAGAGAGAG